AACTAGCTAAGGCTGGTCGTAATGGTAGTATCATAGCTAGTATCATGCATGTCAACTAAGCAATTTTGATGAAGTGTCATAGCATTAAATGAAGAAAGAGAGGGTGTAGTATCATATCATGATACCATATCATATTAAATGCTATGCTACTTTATGTCATGCATGACAATAAATAAAGTACTACATGATACTAATATATGATACTATGCATTACGGAGGTAGTATCATACACTAATAGCATATGCATGATACTAGTATATGATACTACCCATTACAACCAGCCTAAGTTCCTCCAAAGCTCTCTCTCTTCATTTAATCAATGCCACGTAGGAATTTTTGCTGAGTTGGACCCGAAGTTCTCGCTGAAGTTCTCTGCATTGGGGCCGTTAGGCCAGAGAAAAAGCTATGATTGGTCTGAGCATAGACTCTTTGCCTTTGCGGGCCTGACGTTTTTCCTCGTCCAATATCCTCTCTCGGCCCATCGCAGTCGTTGATGGTTTCAGCCAGAACATGCGTGCGTACGTGCCTTCGTCCGTTTTTGCGCCCGAAACTCAGCGCGCGACCGTAAAATTGGATTTAGCAGAGCATACAATCCACGGTAATTTCGATCGCCTTTCGGTAGATAATTTTTTACTGCTCCGCGCAGCTCAGCCGTCGACCGGTCACGCACGCTGAATAGCACCCTTCGGTCTGGCTTGTTCCGCGAGAACTCTGAGAGGGAGCCGCCGGCGTTGGCCCGTCGCGCTCTGGAAGACGAAGAGTCGACGACGTGGTTCACTCAAACTTGGAAGTTAACTCGATCGCAGGACAGTTCAACTCGTGGTGACTATATGTCACCCTACTCTGATAGGGTAGCGAAACCTAGTACTGGTACAGAATACAGATGGCTTCGCCGTGGACTAGTCCAGTGATCGCGTGATTATGTCATCCACTACGGCAGCATCTTGACTAAGATGCGGCAGTTCCGAATCGAGATGCCGCGGTTCCATCCCATCACTCGCACGATAAGCACGTAGTCAAACCATACGGCAGCCCATAGTCAAACAGATGCAGCCTCCTTTCAGGTACCAGCATCGTGTTGGTTTTCCATTTCGTGCATGATTCAGTAAGCTATGAAGACAAAGGATCCACTCATTTCTGTCATACATACACGGAACTGAAGGCACATAGAATGGCGATCCTACGACTGACGACAGACCCAAAAAAAGTTATGCTGCAAAAAAACGTGATGTGAAACAAAATTGATCCGTCCAGCCCTGCAACTTTGAGACTGCAGGCGGGAGGCGACGCCTCCATGGGGCTGGCCCTGCTCTTGCTCCAGCATATGCAGTCATTCAGATTTCGTGTATGCTATCCGACTATGATTTCCATCCAAGAACTGGCCTGTGTACCAGCCCCTGCCCTTGACTTCGGAAACGAACATGGGGAACACGCTCTCCATCTTCTGATAGGCGTCATTTAGGACTGTGTCACGTGGTCCAGCGCCTGATCTCTCCATATCCGAAGCGAAGGCAGCGACCAGCCACCCCCTCAGCGCATCCTCCCCGGTTGCGCTCTGCTCAAGAACCATGTACGCCTTGTCGCTTTTTTGGGTGAGTAAAAACTTCTCGTTTGGGAAAGTAGACCTCAGCTCTTCGACACGCCGTGGGCTCAAAACCCTACGAAGTGGTTGCCCAACTTTCACGCTTCCTGCTTCTTCTATCAACCGGTTAGGGAACAGAAGATCTTCTCTGTATCTTAGCTCAGCTGGGCTTGAAACCTTTCCGCTCTGCAGAGTAAGAAACGAAATTATTATTGTAGTAATCCGGAAAACAGGAAGCACCTACAGTTAGAGGTCAAACGTATGAAACCTTGATAAAATCAGCCACCACCATGGCTGTTCTTTGTGGATTAAGTGTGTTTATAGGAGTTGCTCTCATCTCTTGCATCACTCCCCATATATGCACAGCAGAAAGCAACGGGCCTATGATTAGCTGAAAGAAATTTGATAATAGCAATTAGAAGCTTGTACCAAACAGAAAGTTCTAAACATAATAATAAGTTCCGGATTCTGATGGTCGTCCTCATTCTCAAAGTAATGGCCATTCTAATCTAATTCATGTAATCACATTTTTTACTTTGTTACTTGCCTGATAAAATGAAACAGAGTAACTTAACAAGTGTATTATTGCAAATATGTACCTTTCCTTGAGTCGTTGAACATACTGTAGATGATAATCCAATGCCAGCTCCTATCCCCATAACATTGAAAAGTGTCGAGATGGCTTCCCCTTTAGCAAACAAGTCACTAAGGTTACCTTCTTTCGCAAAAGATGAATATATTGGTAGCCTTGTCGCTCTGGCAGCAACTACAGCCATTCCCTACAATGACAAGCAATAAGATATCACTGTGATGGCACCTCAGTTTTCAGGCAGAAAATCTGGACAAATATGTTCATTTTGGCAACGTCCTATAATCTACAGTCATTTCATATAACCTTCAGGCGCAGAGGACAGTCGTTTTATCTTTGAGTAAGTCCTCGACAAATTAAACACGCAATGTCAAACAGAAGATTGTATTGCAATATATGTGCCGTTTGAAGTGCAGCATATGCAAGTTAAATTCGCACCTTTGCAAAATTTCCCAAGCCTGCCACTTCAAGAAAAAGTTGTGGACACAGTGGTGAAATGAAGTCCAAGGCAGTACCAAAATCATAGAGAACATCAGCTGGCACCAAAAGAAAGAGGCATCGGTGATGCAGCTTAGAAAGAAAATTTCAGTAGAAGAACACAAACAAGCATAAATATCAGAAAATGGGTAACACGGTTAATACGATGATTACCCACCAAATATCCTCCAACTCTTTGGCTCTGAATCCATTCTTGCCCCCATGCCGCTACAGATGAGCTTTCCTGCGTGCTGCATTCCATCTTTTAGAATCTGAAATGGTTACAGAAAATCAGCCAAGATGTTTCAATCGTACTACCTGCTAGAAACTTTAGCATCTCTGTCAGCATACGCTTACCCAACTTACAGCCGTTGCTTGTGCAGGGGTAGGTCGTAGACCTGCAGCAAATAATAAAGACTGAGCCGCAGCCCACATGGGCCGTCAGTAGAAGCTACCATGTTTGCTCATCAAACAAAGTAGGTAAAAATAAGTATCTAGAAAGCGGCTAAAATTCATGGAAATGACACACATTATCCAATGACGACTCTTATTGCTGCTAACGAATAACAGCAACCAGATGAACTGACCTGGGTCGATAGCACATGCAGCATAGCACTAGAAAAATGCTGGAGTGATCGGAATTTGGTATATGTTAGGTAACCCTCATTCACACTGCATGAGCAAGAGCAAAACTCATCAAATAATGTTGTCCATCAGAGTATCAAGAATGTCAACGATTCGGGAACTCATACCTGTATGGATAACCAGATGGAAAAAACTTGTTCAAGAAAGAATCAACCAACTTATCATGTGCCATCCTGTTATCCTGGACAAGTTTTACCTACAAGAAAATAGGAGCTATAACTTATATGATAACAGAGAATTTACACTGAACTATACAATTATCATGAACGTAACATCCCAGTACTTTAACTACAGAATTATGCTTGCTCATACTGAGATTTTTAGTTATCTAGGTAAGCATTAAACATTTCCCTAGAAGGGGAAAAAGCTGCTTGCTGTAAACAAACTCAAACAACAATTTGCAAGGTTGATAGTCCATTTGTATCATTGGAACAAAGGGTCATATGATATGTGACATGTCCCATCAGTTAAACAATCACACCAAACAACCGTACTACACTTTCTGTCCAAAATAACACTCAGGGCAAAGATGAAGCAGTGCTACAAATTAGCTACTGTACTATTGTGCAAACTGATGCATCTAGCAGTGTGGTTATTGTTTATACCTTTATTTGTGTTAGCTCCAAGATTCATTTTTTAACTGGGCAGTACTAAAACTACAGTAGGCTCATAATAACAGCTTTAAAGTTTAGAAATGACAATGAGTCGAACAGGCACATTGTTATTCACACTAAGTCAATCTAACAATTGATATGTTGGTCTCTATCGCCAAACTGATTGATTCTTTCTTGAAAAATACTTCCTCCGTATCAATATATAAGACGATTTTGTGGCTAGTTTAGTCTACAAAAACGTCTTATTTTTGGTACGGAGGTAGTAAGAAGTTACTCCCTCCGTTCACAAATATAAGATGTTCTAACTTCTTTCTGAATCGGATGTATACAGGCACGTTTTAGTGTGTATGTTCACTCATTTCAGTCCGTATGCAGTCCATATTGAAATATCCAAAACAACTTATATTTGTGAATGTAGGGAGTAATATATTGGCCAAGTATGTATTTTGTGATGAGCCCCTTGCAACAATAGATAGGGAATTCAGATATTTGGCACTCCAATTTCAGGTGCTAGAGGGAGAAATCTAATCTGATTCTAACTGAAAACAACATTTTTCACTGTCATCCTAGTTTCATGTTGGGACTTGGGCGTAATCCTGGTCGGCACACGAAGGATAAAAAAATGATGCGAGCCTGAAAGTTCATAGAAAACTAGTAACCACAAGGGAAAATGTAGAAGGCTTACAGATACGCCGCCGCCCCCGCCGGCGTCGAAGCTGCAGAGCCGCGAGACGGACTCTGAAATCTCTACCCACGACTCCGGCCTCCGGGGCGTCTCCATCACGGCCGGCTTGTCGCCGCCTCCGCGAATTCTATCCTGCGGAAGATTGGCGCGCAAAACTAAGAGATAATTCAACCGGGAGGAACTGCGGTGCGGCGCGCGGGGAGTAGGGATAAAGGGCTGCGAGGTAAGGTTGCTGCGCTTACGAGTATGTCCATTGGGGCGCGACGCGAAGAGGACTCGCCTCGTCTGCCTCCTTTTGGGCCGGTCGGTTAGACCGAGACGGCGGCCGGCGGCCGGCGGCGAGGCGGCAGGGGAAGGGATGTGGGTTAGCCGGTCGCAGAGGGCGGGGATTCCAACTCCTTCTGTCACATGTGTCGACGTGTGAGTTTTTCTTCTTCAGAAGAGGCCGTGAACTGCTTCGGCGGCGAAAGCGGGCCGAGTAGGCTCGGGGGCCGAGCCTGGTGCGGCCCGCTACGGCCCATTCCCTCGACGACCGTCGACCGAGCCGCCGTGACAAGTCCAAACTGGACGAACTCATTTGACCGAACACATCTCCATCGCCATGAGAAGATCACCATAGCACTGGACAACCTCCCGATCCCGAGCAGCTCCGATTGGAAGGCCGCCGTGGCGAGATCCCGCGCGGGCAGGGCCTCGATGGGACCGCCGCCGTCCAGGCTGCCCCTGCTGGCCGCCCTCGTCGCGGCGGCGCTGCTCGCCGGCGCGGCCGCGGCGACGGAGGAGGCATACGTCACGCTGCTCTACGGCGACGAGTTCGTCCTCGGCGTACGCGTCCTGGGCAAGTCCATCCGCGACACCGGCACGCGGCGCGACATGGTCGTGCTCGTCTCCGACGGCGTCTCCGAGTACTCGCGGCAGCTCCTCGAGGTTTGCTGAATACTACTCACGCCCACAAATTCAGCGGTAGATTAAGTGTGCTTCGGTGAAGTAGCAGCTTTGGCGCAGAGTTGTTTGGGGTTGAATCAACTGGTTGAAATGGAGATGCAAGGAGGATGTTGCTGCTTACTTTAGGAGTTTATTAGGGGTGCTCACTGTGATCTCAGTGTACCTGGATGAAAATTTTGTCATTCTAATCCGTTTTCGTTCAGAAGATTCCTGAAAAAAGAAATCACTTCAGAAGATGCCACACTACAATGAACATTATTTGTCAATCGTCTTACCTGCAAAGTAGTTTCGGTGTATATTTCAAACTAATCCGTATTGGATCTAACATTAGATAAATTCTAGGCTGATGGTTGGATCGTGAAGCGTATAACTTTATTGGCTAATCCTAACCAAGTGAGACCAACGAGGTTTTGGGGTGTCTACACGAAGTTAAAGATATTCAACATGACAAGCTACAAAAAAGGTATGTTTCGATAATAATTTAAGTGATTTTGCTTCTATTTCCATCACCGAGTCCGTCTATTTCAAAATGATAATCGTATTATCAACCTCTACTCTGAACTGAATGTGCAGGGCTACGGCCATCTATTTCGAAATGACAATCATAATTTTATTTCTTCTAAAGTATTTTTTTCTGTCATCTCTTTCGTATCATTTTTTTGTATTACTATTCTAAAAGGTTGCTGTTCTCCCAGTTGTTTATCTTGATGCAGATACTGTAGTTGTAAAAAGTATTGAGGATGTTTTCAAGTGTGGGAAGTTCTGTGGGAACTTGAAGCATTCTGAAAGAATGAATTCCGGAGTGATGGTTGTGGAGCCATCTGAAACTGTTTTCAAGGATATGATTAGCCAAGTAGACCGGTTGCCTTCCTACACTGGAGGTCAATGCACTTCTTTTCCTATTATATTCAGGCAATTGTTTGGAGAACACAAGTTGATTGGCTGTGAACAGTTTGCTCACATCTATTAAATTTCAGTGCATGCTAGTCCATATAATAAAAGAATCCTTGTGCAATAAACTTGAGACTGGTCGCATTTACCTAAATGGAAGAGACTAGTTATATAAGAAAAATGTTTTTTTTCATACTGGTAACTTGGTAAGTGCTTTTAGAGACTTTACTCTCACACTTTCAAAATGTAAAGTAAATAATTATTCGCTTCAATGTGTTACTTTTCATAGATTTGGCATGTTAATGCATGTAAACAAAAGTTATTTCATAAATAGACAGTTGCACATCCACCACCTTTCAATCACACCTGAAATTTTCAGCCCTGCTGCTCTCCTTGGCCTGTTTTGACCAGCATTTGTGATGATTTGTTAGTCTTTTTTATGCATCGTCAGGTCCTCTTTTTAGTTTACAATGGCAACACCAGGGCAATCCTCAAGCTATCCCATCCTCTGCAGAAATTCCCCACTCGCAATTCATACACACCATCAATACTCTCAGGCATAGTTAAAAAAGGCGCGCCTAAGCGAGCGCTTAAGTGCGCTAGGCTCTAGGCGTTGGCAAAACGCATTGCGCATAACTACGCATAATCTGTGCATAACTGCGCATAAGCATGCGCTTTGGTCAGTAAAGCGCAAGGCGGTGGCAAAACGCACAATTAACGCCTAGCGCTTTTTTGAACTATGCTCTCAGGTGTTAACAGCTTGTGGCTGCAGAACCTGCTTGTAGAGTACTCACATCTTCTTATGATTCCCCACCATGCTTAATGTCGAGGACACCACTACCCCCCTCAACATCAAAACCTATTCCCTCGCTGGTTATGTTCAAGATAGAGGAGGGCAATATGATCATCGTGCGAAATAGTCTAAGGAAACTTAGCCCATGATTTTGGGAAGATATATGATGCCCAGTTGGAAGTTATTTTGGCCCTTTGATGATTATATTTAGCATTGTAGTTGATTTTATGTGCTGTATTTAATCGGGGTGCTGAATTAATCAATGCAGGGGATCAAGGTTTTCTTAATTCGTATTATGCTGATTTTGCTAACTCCCGCGTGTATGAGCCAGACTCACCTTTAACACCTGAACCGGAGACACAGCGCCTTTCTACCTTGTATAATGCTGATGTTGGTCTTTACATGCTAGCCAACAAGGTAATATTCTTTGTGTGCACTGATAATGCCTAACACATTAGTATTTATCTGACTAATTAGAACCTTTGTTGCAAACTTGATACTGCATGCGCCTCATCTTGTGTTCTCTGTAAAAAAAAATGCCAGCCAACACAGTATTCCATATTATGTAAACCTTATCCTTGCAAAGAAATAGATTCCAGTAAGGTATGCAAGTCACAACTATTCTAGTCTTTTGAATGTATGGAAGGTCACCGATATCACACACTAAGACAATATCTGTGTTTACTTTTATACTTATTTGTTGTCTCGTGCTCATAAAAGTACAAAACTTAACCTTTTTTGGGTGCCCATTAGATGTTAGTTACATAAGTTTGATAGAGCATGATGCTTTGTTTGGGACTCATGATCTAATTTATGTTGTAGTGGATGGTTGATGAGAAGGAACTTAGAGTTATTCACTACACACTAGGTCCCCTTAAACCCTGGGACTGGTGGACAGCTTGGCTTGTAAAACCTGTGGAGATATGGCAGGTAAAATTCCAGCTCATTTATCTATTTTTTACTTACATTTGATATTTTGTGAAAGTGAATTAGTAGCATGTTGGTGATAAATTTATGCTCTGTATGATTCCAGGATGTTAGGCAAAAACTTGAAGAATCTCTTCCGGGAACCGGTGGGGGAAGGAACCCTCATGATCAGCTGGTCGTCAAATTTTTATTCATTCTTCCCTTCTGCCTGCTGTTATTTGGTTATTACCAATCATGCTTTCAGGTTAAATCACATTTCATGCTGCTAGTTTTTTTTAACTTTGTAGATATAATATCTTGTAGGAATTTATTGACTTTTGATCGATCATGGGTGATGTTTTTGACAGAACAATAAGGATTTTCCAAGTGTGCAGTCTTTATGTGTGTTCGCTAGAAGAGGCCGTCATAAGTACAAGTCTGAAGAGGCACTTCCATCTTATTCAGCAGTTGGTGTTTCATCATCTACATTTTCGACTTCAAATCAAAGAGTTAGTTACTCCTCTTCAACAGCAAATATCCTCTGAATTTGTAGCATGTGTTAAGTAGGTTTTTTCATTCTAACATGAACCAAGGTACTTTCTGCATTTTGCACTTGTAATACATTCTATTGAACGTTGACTATTGGGCCAGAATATAAGATAATGTTTATATTGGAAATATTGGTAAAGCGTTCACCCTGCACAAAACTGGGCCGGGGAGATGATATATTGTTCTATATGAATTTACCATCCTAGTTATATTTTCTTACTTAGTTTATTTTTCTTACCGAAATGTGTTGACGATCATGTGATATTACCTAATGGTTCTTTAACACTGCCACAGATCTCTAACGGGCCACATCTGAAGCTGCCTTCTTATTTTGGGGCGATTGCTGTGCTAATCTGTTTTATGTCTGCTGGTGTCTCTCTTGCCTTTGCTTTCACTATCATTCCACGACAAATTATGCCATGGACAGGTCTGCTACTGATGTTTGAGTGGACCTTCGTGGCATTCTTCTTATTGTTTGGTGGCTATCTCCGTTTTGTCTATCGATGGGGAAGTATCAGTGCAACTCATGTGGGATATAGCAATTCTGATTCATCAGAGAATCACATGAGTACAGGCATGTTATACTATATAACTTCTTGCAAAGTTTCATCTTTCTTCTCTAGAAATTTTAGGTATCTAACAGCTTGGTCTTCTGCAGGTCATCAGCGCAATATATCCGACTTTGACATGGAGGCGACATTTTACTGGGCAGGGATGGCTGTCATAGCTGTCATTACTGTATTTTCACCAACTATCTTGGGTATAACTGCATTATTTACAAAGTAAGACACTGACTGGCCCCTCTCTTTTCTTTCGCATTTAATATGAAGGAAAAAGCGGGGGAAACTCGAAAAGTCCATTCTGCACCCGAGCTCATATGCTCCCGCGTGAACAGTACAATCGAAAAAAAATCGAAAAAAATTCAAAAAATTCCATTTTTTTTTTGAGAGAAACATTGACAAAAGTTCTAAGTGCCTGCAAAAATTCATCATGAAATCACATTCCTGTAAGGCGTGGCAAAAAAAACAAATTCAGTGCTTCAAAATGCGTTTGAAAGTAGCTTTTTCAGAGTACTATTTTTGTTTTTTTTGCCACGCCTTCTAGGAATGTGATTTCGTGACGAATTTTTGCAGGCACTTAGAACTTTTGTCAATGTTTCTCTCAAAAAAATTTGGAATTTTTTGGAATTTTTTCGATTTTTTTTCGATTTTACTGTTCATGCGGGAGCATATGAGCTCGGGTGCAGATTAGCTGACACCCCACCAATTTTGAATACGTAAAAATGGGGAATGCCCGGCATTTCCATAGGACTACGGGAACGGGGACTGTTGGAAACTTGGGATTGAGGACTACACCGAGAGGGGATAGGAGGGGGTGCTGGTATGGGAGCTATGACTTGTGGGTGTGTGTGGACTTCCTAGACCAGATAATTAGCTTGGGGGTATAGCACAGACCTTTTCTATTTCATTCGTAGAGGGTAGTAGCTCTCTGAGGTGTATACGAAGTAGTGGTGATTTAAGGATTCTGACTTACTCCTGTAGAAATGCAGATTTTTATATTTCACAAACTGTCTGAAAGGCATCTTGTGTGTGTGTTTCTCTTGCCAGTAACTGATCAGCCCCTGTGCATCTTCTTTTCTTTGTCAGGCTAGGGTTGATGGTTGCTGGCGGTGTTCTGCTGGCATCTTTTATGACGTATGCTTCGGTGCATCTTGCTATCTCAGCCTTCCACAAGGGCCAGAAAGATAGGAATGCGTCGAGAACTAGAAGAATTTGTTTTTGGTGTTTGTAGCAAGTCTGTACCTACGTCATTGATGATTTAGTTCATGTTGTTGTACATTTTTACACAAGGAAGTTTCGGTGGTTCCTTTGGCACAGATATTCCATTTTTGTAACGCTGATGCCAAATCAAAGGTACATAGGTTCCAATAGTTGACATGCAGCTCGCAGGCCTGCAAGTGTAAAGCCTTTTGTCTATAAAACTCTTCCTGCCATTTGCTCGTTGTACAATGATCGGCGGTTCTGTATTGGAACTATGGAACATGAACTGAATTGGTGTTACTAGTGTGCTGGGCTAGTATTAGCCAGAGAACTACGTATAGTAACCGCGGTTTCATTTATTTCAACGCTCTGGTTTTATGTAGAATAAAACGATATGTATTGAAATCTCCAAAACTAACTTGGGCATGCGTCCTCTGTTCTTTCTGAAGCACCGGCAAAACGCCAGCAGATAGGCCTCCTTTGGTTCATAGGGTAGGAAAATCATAGAAATAGGAAAGTCATAGAAAATGAGATGACATGCATCTCAAATCCTATGAGTAGGAATAGAAAAAGGGATGTCCTTTGATTCACATCATAGGATTTTTTCCATTGAGTCTAGACTAATGTTTATTTTTCTATGAAATGTGGAGGATAGGAAGAATTCCTCCATAGGCATAGGATTTCATTCCTACAAACCAAAGGGCTCTAAAGGAATTTTTCCTATAAAAATCCTATCCTATGAAATTCCTACAAAATTCCTTCAAACCAAAGGAGGCCTAAAAGTTCAAACAGGCATGTTGTTCCTGCAGAGAAATCTGCACGTTGGCAGTATGGGCCTGTTTGGATGCTTGCATCATTTTTCGGTTCCGTGGGAACCTGGCCTGGTGTAGCCTGTTCTAGGTGATAGGAGTTCTGGGCCATGTTTTGCAGTTGTTTGATTACCCGCATCGCCTCTTCTTCAAGACGCAGAAACGCAAGCATGGTGTTTGGTTGTATTTATGTGCTTCCAAGATGCAACGTTCAGTTGCTTGTTTACGTGTTAACTCACACCATCACACTTGAACAATTTCATTTACGAGCGTTCAAATAAATACTGACAACATGAGAATCATGTGGAACAACGAGGAAATTTTAAGAAACTGACCGTGTGTGATTAATTTGATGAAATTTGTCTAAAATAAGTTCAAACTTGAACATGAAAATGATGAGTTACCACCAAGGAAACTCGAAATCCATTGCCGGAATGGAATCACTTTGTTCTTTTTTAAGACTAGCAAAAGGGCCCGTGCGTTGCAACGGGAGAAAAAAATTCATAATTTCAAATGGTCATGATCACATTTCGTTGCATCACCGAGATACAATATCTCTCTCAATTTCTCGAAATCATGAACATTTTGAAATTATGAACAATTTGTTAAACTCATGCACATATTTGAAATCGCAAACAACATACTATTACAAATTTCTGAACATTTTCTACAATCAAGAACATTTTTTCAATTTATGAATATTTTTTGCTATTTACAAACATTTTTTAAAAATTGTGAACATTTTTAAGCAATTTTCCTGAACTGGCAAACATTCTATAATCGATGAAAATATTTAGAAATTGGGTGGAATAGTTATTGAATTTGACGAACTTTTTTTGATTTAGCGAACATTTTTGGAAATGCCCGTGCCTTGCAACGGAAAAAAACTATCAAGTTATACATGTGTGGTAGATATAAAAAAGTATGAATCAAATTCACAAAGTATATACAAATCATGTCATGATGCGATAAGACACTTTTAAAATGTAATTTCAAAAATGAACAATATGATGCTCATCAAGACTTGATTTTTTAAGGCGTCACAACAAAATATTTTGTGGCTGAGCAAACTGCATTGACGGACCCTGCCTGAGCTATACTGATAAATAAAGTGTCTCGTCTGGACTTAGCGTAGCGATGTTTACCATAACCACTATTGTGATATGAAAATAAGCATAACTGTGTATGGAAGCAAAATAGACATTTAGTCATTTTAATATAGCTTACAAAAACAAACCCTTAGAAAGTTATGTCAATTTTGTTGGGTTCAGCGTTGTACAAAACACGGAAACCCTTTTTTACCCAACGCGAAGGACTAAATAAAATCATAAAATGAGCTATATAGATCTCCTAATAAAACCTTTATGGAACCTACAATTAGTTTTGTTCATTATTTACGGATGTGTTTTAATTTTTGTGAACATTTTCTAAAAGCTGATGGACATGATTTTTAAATTCCTGAATATGCTTTGAATATTGGCTCATTTAAAAAAATCATGAACATTTTTTATTTCATGAAATCATTAGAAATCGTGATTTGTTTATAATTTGTGAGCAATTTTTTAAGTCATGAACATTTTTTGATTTTTAGAATATTTTTTAAATTCACAAACAGTTTACCATTTTCCTACTTTTTTTCAGAACTCGCAATTGTTTGATATTTTGGAAATCCGAAATTAATTTTGAGATAAAAAACCAAAACAGAAATAAAAAAGTAAAAAGAAATAAAAAATAGGGGGCGCCATCAATCCGAAATTTATTTTTAGGGAAAAAACAAAATAGAAATAAAAAAAAGATATAGAAAACAGGGGGCGCCACGACCCGCACATGGGCTGGCCCATTACTGCGCTTGGTGAAAAGAAAGAGAAAAAGCGTGAGAACCAGGGATCAAACCCTGGTCTCCTGTGTGGAGCATCGTTGCCTCAGCCATCGCGCTGCTCATGCATTGGTGCTATAGCACACATGTCCGTGTGTTGCAACGGGATATACGCATTTAAGTGATTTAACATGCATCATCGGTAACGCTACACTCTCAAACAAACTCCTTTTGTCCCTATAATATTTGTAAAATAGAGAAAAGAAAACAGTTTCCACATTAGAAGATAACACTGCCCCTAGCAATCCAAGCGTTCATGACATTCTCAGATAGCAAGCAGGAAGCAAAATCTGCAGCAAGCAATACATGGAGCAAACAAGAACTTTTTGGAATTGAGACACTTGCATCTTTAAAATGGTGTACTACTCCTGGAGCAAGCAACAAGCAGCAAAGCAATACATGGAACAGAGAATGGCGATGGCAATAGCGTGGACGAGGGAGAAGAGGCTGCGGAGCGTTGCTCTCACTCTCACGCGGCTCTCACTCACTCTGTCCTGCTGCAACAGGGAGCCGCCATGGCCATCAACGCCAACTGCCGCCGCGTGCAGGCCTCGCTCCGATCCAGCCGCCCAAGACCTCTCCGCCCCAGTTCCATCCCATCCTCGCCTGCCGGAGCCCCGCGTCCCAGCCGCCGTCACCCGAGCTTGGCCATGGCGCCGCCAACCGGAGCTTCGCCCGCCTCCGGCCATTCCTCGGCCGGCTCCTGCAGCCCCGCGCCCGTCCCGGCCTCCTCCACGCCAAGCAGCAGCTCGTCGGAGCACGAGCTCCACCGGGTCCGCCTCCCTCTGTCGTCCCTCTTCTTCTTCTATCTCTTTTACTCCCTCTCTGCCTCTTCTCTGAAATTTCCCCACCTTGACCTTGCAGCTCCCGCCGCCGCCCTGCTCCGTTCATCGCCTTCTCCGCCAGATCCGGCGAGGCCCTGCGTTCCCAGCCTCGTCCCCGCCACCAGGTCGCCGCGCCGCACCACCGGAGACCAGCAGCGCCGTCGCACTCCGTGTCCTATCCCTGCTCGTGTACGTGCGCAGGAGACGCGCCAGGTCGCCTCGATTCAGGCCTCCTCCTCGCCCGTGGGCCACCAGCACCGAGCCGGCTTTCTGGCGAGACCCCAGTCCTGCCTCAGCCACTACGCCTGAAGCCGCCCCGCCGCAGCGCGCCTCCTCGCGTGCCTCGCCCCAACTGAGCACGCCGGCCGCCTTGTCCTCCTCCGCCGCGACGCCTCGGCCCGCGAAGGCGCCTCGCCAAGCAGCGGGAGGAGTTGCGTGCTAGGCTCACCTGGCGCAAGCGCGCCCGCGAGCTCACCCCCGTGCCGGCCAAGGCCGCCTTCGGCGACTCCACAACTCCCTGTCTGTCGCGCCCTCGAACGCCCGCCACAAGGCCGCTCCCCATTCCTGGCCTCGGGCGGCGTGGACGCCGGCAGCAAGCGGAGGCGCGTGCCAGGCGGTGGAGGACGGCTCGCGGGCGTCAGCGGCAAGCGGCGTGCCCGGCGGTGGAGTACGGCAATGGATAAACGGCGGCGGAGAACGCAATGGACGCAGGGGGCTTTTTGCAAAATCCAACCGTTTTCTGCAGTAACACATTAAAATAGGACTGCGGGTTAATTTTTTATAAACTGAGGGGCTTTTATGCAAAATCGCTAGCGACGGACGACCAGAAGCACTATTTGCTTTATTAGTAAAAAAAAAAAAAGTAGGGAAAGATAGTACAGACGCAAGCACTCATACATACACGCATACACTCACCTCTATGAACGCACGCACGCACATCCTACTCCTATGAGCACCTCTAAGAGACTGAGCCGGCATATTATCTTGAGATTTACGAAGTCACCGTAGGCGCCTCGTCGTCGACGGAAACGTCTCCTCCCACTGAAAGCGCACACCAGAACTTGAACCCCGGTGGGCTAGGGATACCACTGACCCTCTAACCATCCAACCACAAGTTGTTTCGCAGAATCACTTTGTTGATCCACATCTTCTTCATGTAGACATCATCATGAAATGGTGGACCCACAAAGTAGATAATAAAGAGGATATGTGAGAGAGGGAGAGGGAGAGGACGAAGAAAACACCTTCACGTACACACACAAAGTATAGTAACGAGATAAAGATCTATTCATCTATGACGGTCGATTGGGTGTGACTAATTCAAAAAAAACATCTAAAAAGCCAAATATAAACACTAATTTGAAGATTAACAGTAACAAAAATTAGGAAGAGATCACGAGAACAGAATCCCAACGTCGATGTACATCTTTTTCATGTGGAGCTTATCTCAAATCGAAGCACCATTGTATAGATTAGACGGGATTAGGTGAAGGAGATTGAGGAAGGTGAGGAGAACACACCA